GCTGTAATTAACACCTTCACGACTGAATCAACCTCACAACCTGTTACGAGCCTCAGAGGATTCACTGCTGAACCAAAAGAGACCTTAACCCTGTGAAGCCCGACATATGAATGGAATGGAACAGTTTATAGAAACTTTATTGCATACGTTTCTTTCGTTGAGCATCGTATTTGATCCATCAGGCTCATATAGTCTGATACAGTGAGAATATGGAGGAAAAACAAGCAAACTGAGCAAAAATATGCAATTTGGTGCAGATGCTGATATGATGATATTCTGCTGCTTGTAATGTAAATCAGTGAGAGCTTTATAACAGTGCAGCAGATACTGACATAAAATGATCTAAATATCAGTCGTCGCTCTACATCTCCAGTAATCTGTCCCAGTAAGATGAGAGTGAAATGCTCCAAACATATAATGCAGTGATTGAGAGCTGAAGAAATAAAGGCTCCTCAGAAGATGTGAGATGTTCTGGAGGCTTGTGAAGATCATTCCTCCGCTGAGGAACAGTGAAAGTAAAGCTTCTGGAAACAAACGCTCCTCAAAAGATCCTGAGGATCAGATTTGAGACTCTAAAACATGATTGATGGAGAATCAAGTAAAGCTGAGCTGCTTCAGTCCAGTAAGTGTTCATCTGGAGATATTACTGCAGTTATTCTGACCTTTACTTGATCAAAATCACTCAAGATTTGACACGAGAAGCTCAGGCTGAAGCTGCACGTTTGTACAATTACACTAAAAGAGCTTTTACTGGATAAAAACCTCAGACGACAGAAGACATGCAGTAGATTGTGTGTGAACCAGGTTTAACAGCAAAGTTTTGATCATTTAGAGCCTTAGAAATGTGTATATTAAATATGATACAGTAGCTTTACAGGGATAAAATTAACGGTGTAATGTAGACATCTTCATCAGTCCTATTCCTATTTAAAAACAAGCTGTTCTCGTTCTTGTTCTCTTATTCTTCAGCATTTCTCCTCTAGCTTATGTACTATGAATATTATGTTAGGACAAATTGCTTGCGATGTTGCTCTGTGGATAAAAGCGGCTGCTAAATGAATAAATGTAAATCTATTGTGTCTCTGTGTTTTCCCCATGGTAAGTGAATGGGTAAGTGTTGTAACCAGGATTAGTTTTCCCTCCAGCTGCCCTCAGTATATGTCAAGTCATTTTTATTTGTTTAGCGCTTTTCATAATCCATGTTGTTCCAAAGCAGTTTTAGAGAAAATGGTGCATTAATATCGTACAGCCCCCAGTGAGCAGCCAAAGACAAAAACCTCCATAAAATGTTTAGATGAAGAGGGAGCAAACCCTTGAGAGCAATCAATCTACACATGATAAATATGATCTACTTACTGCATGCTGACTGTATCTATACATGCAACCTCAATAAATCTTTGTTTTTCTAGCGTGCTTTATGTGTTATAGCGGTTGTGTGTGCACTGACTCATTCCCTACTGTAAAAATGCCAACAGCAGTTTGTCAAATGACAGTATCGATGACACGGAAGGATAAAAATATACGTATTACTTACACCGAGATTCTGAAGCACATGTGATGGAGCAGAGATAGTAAACTGAGAATGACTTTTCAGTTCCTGAATATGTACTGAATTTGAAATGAGGCAGCAAACAGGATTCAGAACTGAAATTCAAATTTGTATGTAAGGAAGTCGAATTAAAATGAATGGAAATTTAAATAAATAAAACTGTAATTTTATAGACAGGCAGATAGAAAAATATATAGACGGACAGATGATAGACAGATAGACAGACGGATTGACAGACAGACAGACAGACAGAGAGACGGTTAGACAGACGGATGGATAGACAGACAGACAGGCAGATAGATAGATGGATAGACAAGACAGACAGACAGAAAGATGGACAGACGGACAGACAGATGGAGAGATAGACAGATAGAAAGACAGAGATGGACAGATAGACAGACAGACAGATGGACAGAAAGACAGACGATAGACAGACAGACACGGACAGAGAGTTGGAGAGATGGACAGACAGACAGACAGAGAGATAGACGGACAGAGAGTTGGAGAGATGGACAGACAGACAGACATATGGAGAGATTGTTTTCTGTAGTGTGTGTGTATATGTTGTCTTATGGGATATGCTTGTATGCTGCAACCAAATTGCCTTCGGGAAATTAATAAAGATGAACTGAACTGAACTGAACTGAGGATAGACAGACAGACAGACGATAGACAGACGGACAGACAGACAGAGAGAGAGATAGACAGACAGATGATAGATGGACAGAAAGACAGACGGATAGATGGACAGACAGGCAGATGGATAGACGGATAGAGAGACAGACGGATAGACAGACGGATAGACGGACAGACAGACAGACGATAGACAGACAGACAGA